AGAAGAGTGACAGATCTGGGATCCAAGCAGCCAAACTCCACAGCCCGTCCATTTTTCAGTTTTAATTTTGAAAAAATTTCAAACTTACAGTGAAGTTGCATCAATGATACAAAGGACTTCCACATACACTTCCCCATATTCAATAATTTCTAACATTTTTATCATATTTGCTTACTCTATAGCTATAGCTAGATATAGACCTATACATACAAACACCTGTGCACATTTATTTATTATTATTATTATTATTATTATTGTTATTGCAGAACTACTTGAGAGTAAATTGCAGTCATCATAACCCTTTACCCTTAAATACTACTGTGGGTGTCTCCCAATAGCTAATGAAAGGATATTCTCTTATATAATCACAGTAAATTATCACTAAGGGTACGTATTAAAATGTCAGCAGTTATCCCAAAATGTCCTTTATAACAGGTATTTCTTTTCCTGATTTAGGATCATGGGTTGTATTTAGTTGTCATGTCTCTTTAGTTTTTTTCATCAGGAACAGTTCCTGTCTTTTAGTCCTGACGAATTTGTTTAATAAAGTCCAGTTGTTTATAGAATGTCTCTCATATTGGACTTGCCTGATGCTTCCTCACGATTAGTAGAGTCAGAGTAAGCAACAGAAGTGTCCTTCTCAGTGCATTGTCTCAGGAGACACATGAGGTCGATTTGTCCCATTATTGGTGATAACTTTGATCACTTGGTGAACATGGTGTCTGCTGGGAGAAAAGTTAATATTTTCCCTTTTGTAATTAATAAGTAATCTGTGGGGAGATATTTTGCAAATGTCTATTCTGGAGCCTCTACTCTTCACTACATATATACTGCCTTCCTAAATGTTGCTGAATCTAATTCAGTTGGATTAGATACCAGATGTCAGAAAAGGGACACACCCTGCTCTGCTCACTTTGCCCCGGCCCTTCCCAGGCCTCTCCACATCCTACCCAAGGAGCAACCTCAGCTGTTTCTCTTTTTTCTAATGGAATAGAGAGAGAAACGAGGAGCAAGGAGCAAAGGTGTGGCTTGGGCGTCAGGTGGACGGCATGTGGGAAGACCAAAAGCAGATGGCCTTGGAAAGCATCCTGGCAGCCCTGTCGCAGAAGCTCAGGTGGGAATACATGCATGTGTACGTGTATGCATGGGTGCGTGCATGGGTGTGCATGCACATGTGTGTGTGTGCATATCTAGGGAGCTCTGAGGCTTCCTTCCCCAAGGAGCAGCAGGAAGAGATAAGCACCTCCTCTTCTCCAAAAGCATGGGTCTCTGCCACGCCCTCTTGACACACATCAGGAACTGGAGGAAGGGGAGAAAATGTGCGATAGCGACTGGATCTTATCCACTGCCGTGTCTCCATGTGTAGCAAGAGGCTGGGCTCAGCGTCTATGTCCAAAAACATAACTTACTCAATCGTTCTGGGATAGGACCCAGGAACCTGAATTTTAACAAGTGTCCAGGGCAGGTCTGTTGGGTGTGATCTGAGAGGTGTGCTCTGGGTTCCTTGCCAAGCTCACAAAACTCTAACGTCAAAGGAAGACAGCCCTTCCCAACACCCTCAGGTAGACTAGTGTGTGCAGCACTCAAGCAAGGGAGAGAGGGGAATGACACCCCATCTCACTGACCCTCACATTCCCACTGGGAGTCAGGGAAGATGAGGAATGAGCTTTCCCATTTTACAGAGGAGGAAAACTGAGGCAAAGAAGGGGCAGCAGCTGGCTCCAAGTCAGGGACTGGCAGGCCCAACCGAGACCTGCTGCTTCTCTTTAGTTTCTTCACAAGAAGCCCACTTAGCAGACAGTTTCCCAAGAATGACACGACTGTAGGGAGAAACTCTGCTATATTTTTTAGGCTGATTTTCAACTGTGAGCACAAATGTGTCCCAGCATGACTTTGCCAGGCACTTCTGGACCTAGTAAGCAAATCCAGTTTCTCCATGTGCCCTCTTACCTTCCTTCCAATCTAATTAGACACCAAGAGCTCAGAGATCTCACCAACCTCAGTCCTGTGGAGATACAAGCAGCAGCAGGCTGATGGGCAGCTGCAGGAGGGGTGAGAACCAGGATGGGAGGCAGGATGCACATCTGAGCCCCAGGTCTGGTTCTGCAGCCAACTCACTGTACACAGCAAGCCGACTGCCTTGCTTCTTCCTCCGTGAAAGGAGGGGGTTAGCACTGACCACCTCTAAGGTCCCTAATGCCTCTAAGAATAATGCCTACCTTGTGCCTCTCATGCTGGGATTAGGTCATCATTCACCTGCTTTATAGCTCCCACAAGGCCCAGTAGGGTGGAGTGGCCCCAAGGAGGGCTGAGTCCTACGAATGCAGGCTTTGTTCCTGCAGGTTAAAAGCCAGAGGCTTCACAGAGCTCAAATTCACAGAGCAGCAGGAGGGGGCCTGGAGGCTGCTGTGGCCATTGTTCCACCTCCAGCTCAATGGCTGCAAATACCAGGGTATCACTGGTGGGCCTGGGAAAACATAAAATAAGAGTAAGTTCTTCCACCTTGATAGTGCAGAGTCAAATGATTTGGCAGAAGGCACACTTTTGCACCCACCACCCTTCATATCCACCTAACAGCCCTGTAAGGCACTGAGGTCAGATTTGTCTGTCCTCCTGGCTTTTATGTGCCAGTCTCTGAGCTGAGGGAATAGCAGCGAAAAGGACAGCAGTGATCCCTGCTCTCATGGAATTCACAATGCAGTGAGACAGACAAAACTTAAAGTACTTGTACAGTGGATTATTTAATTTGTGATAAATGGTATGAGACATAAGGGGTATGGTGAATGTGTGTGCCGCAAGGGATACCTAAGCTAACCCTGCGGTGACTTCAAGGGAAGTGATCTGCCTGGGATCTCAGTGGAAGAAGATTAGCAGAACTGGGGCTAACAATGAGGTTCTTTTTAAAATTTATTTCATGGCATTTGTTTTTGTCTGTCTGACATATTTTACTTAGTATAATACCTTATAGGACCATCTATGTTGCAAATGGCCAGATTTTATTCTTTTTTATGGTTGAGTAATATTCCATTGTATACATGTACCACCTCTTATTTATCCAACGGCCTACTGATGGGCACTTGGGCTGCTTCCATATCTTGGCTTTTGTAAATAATGATGCAATGAACATAGGGGTCTGTATATCTTTTTGAATTCATGTTTTGGATTTCTTCAGGTAAAGACCCAGAAGGGGTATTGCTGAGTCATGGGGTAGCTCTATTTTTAATTTTTTGAGGACCCTCCATACTATTTTACATAGTGACTGCACCAATTTACTATCCTACCAACAGTGCACAAGGGTTCTCTTCTCAAGAATGAGGTCCTTTTGGGACCCAGGCAGTCTTAACACTGGAACATCCATCCCCCTGGTTTCTGCATCCATCCCTCTGTCCATGCCCTAACCTGCCCTTTCTTCAGTCCCCATGATTGAGCTTGTTCTTTCTTTCTGCAACAGGAATTCCCAAGGATGAAGATTCTGCCTGTGTTTTATGCTGCCTGGAGCCAAAACACAACTGCATCCAGTTCAACCTATTTAGTTTTTGACCTACTTTTTCTTTTATAAATACAATAAAATTCCCCCATCCTGGTCTGCAGTTCAATCTTCTTTAATCTTCCACCTAATTTGTATGTGTTTTACATAGTTATGTTTCCCAAAGTGGTATTACATGGTATAATAAAAAAAATAGCTAACATTTACCAGACTGGGCAGTACCACCTGGGCAGCTTCATACCTAGAATCTCATATGCTCCTCACAGAGCCCAAAGGGAGGCATTGGCACCCTTCCCATTTCACAGACAAGGAACCCAGGTACAGAAAGATTAACTGAATTGCTACGGTCACAGCCAACAAGGAGAGAGCTGGGGTTTAAACCAAGGCAGTACAGCCCAGAACCAGCCTCTTGACCATATTCTTCTACTCTGGGCCAAACTCATCCTTCATTCATTTGATGACTTGTTTGTCTATAAGCAGTATCATATATTTGTTCAACATATATTTATAGAGTACCTACTATGTGCCAGGCATTGTTTTAGGCACTGGGAATATAGTTACAAACAAACAGACAAAGCCCCTGACCTCAAAGAGTTTATATTCAAATTAGGGAAAAAATAACAAAAACAAGTAAATATAGAATATGTCCAATAGTGGCAATTACAAAGGATAAATATTTAAGGGGGTGGGAATGCCAGAGGGCATTATTTTATCTATAATGTACACATGTGCTGTGTAGTGGTCAGGGGAGGCCTCATTGATAAGGTAAACACTTGAGTAAAGGCCTGAAGGAAGCAGGGTGTTGGCCTTGTGAATATCTGGGTCAAGAACATTCCATACAGAGTGAAAATCCAACACAAAGGCCCTGAGGCAAGAGCAGGGAAGGAGGAAGAATAAGGAGGTTAGAGTGGCTAGAACAGAAAGAAGGTGTCCGAGGAAGGCAAGGAGGCCCAGATGGAGCAGGAGGCCAGCTCATGAGGACCCTGCGAGGCCATGGTAAGGACTTGGATCTCACCCTGGGTGAGACTGGAGTCATCACAGAGTTTAAGCAGAAGAATGACATGATCGGACCTGCATTTAAAGTCACTCTGAGATGAGGTGACTAAAAAATTCTGAGTACATTTTTTAAAATATGTTTTTATTGATTTTAGAGAGGGAGAAAGGGACAGGAAGAGAGAAACATTGATCCACTGCCTCATGCACAGCCCGTACTGGGGATCAAGTTGGAAACCTGGGAATGTGCCCTGACCAGGAATCAACCAATCACCTCTGGATGCACGGGATTATGCTCTACCAACTGAGCCACACAGGCCAGGGCTCTGAATACATTTTTAGGGTAGAACTCATTTGTTGATGGATAGAGTATGGGGATTGGAGATGAGTCAAGAATGACTCCAAAGTTTTTGACTTGAGCAACTGAAAGGATGGAGTTGCCATTTAGGAGCTTAGTGGATGGGAGAGGAATTCGGAGATGGGTTAGACATGTGGAAGTCTAAGTGAGGATGTTGAGTAGGCACCTGGATATCCTGAGTCTGGAGACTGGAGTTAGGAGAGAGGTCTGGGCAGTCAGTTTGGTTTGGGAGCTGTCACATTTAGATGGTTTTTAAAAATCAGGAAAGTGATTTAGATCATCAAGGAAAAAGTACGGAAAGAATAGAGAAGAGGTCCAAGAATTGAACCTGGGGCATCCCCACATTTAAAGTTTGGAAAAAAGATGAAGAACTAGCAAAGAAGACTGAGAAGGAGCAGGCAGTGAACTACTGGGAAAACTACAAGAGAGAAATTTCAGAAGTCAACTGAAAAAAAGTGTTTCAAGAGGAAGAGAGTGATCTGCTGTACAAAGTGCTGCTGAAGGGTCAGGTCAGTTAAGAACTGACCATGGAAGTGACCATGGAAGACACTGATGACCTTGGCAAGAACAAACTGGGTGGAATGGTGGAGGCAAAAGTCTGACATGAGGGGGTTCAAGAGCAAATGGTAGGGGAGGAATCAGAGCTGGCGAGTACAGACCTAGTTGTCCCATATGGCAGCTCCTAGTCACAGGTGGCTACTGAACACTTGAAATGTGGCTAGTATGAACTGAGACACGCATTAAGTGTAAAATAGACACTGGGTTCCAAAGACAACATGAAAAACATAGCTCAAATTTTGTTTTATATTGATTACATGTTAAAATAATATTTTGGATATATTAGGTTAAATAACATTTTAAATTTTTCATCTGTTCCTTTTTTAGTTTTTTATTGTTGTTACTAGAAAATTTTAAAAATCACCCACATGCTTTGCATTACATTTCTATTGGACAGCACCAGTAGAGATAATTCTTTTATTTTTGCCATAAAAGGAAGATGAGAACTGAAGTCACTGACCAGAGGTACTTATGTCAGTGATTGATTTGCTGGTGGAAATGGTGTCTTTCACAGAGTCTCAAGAAAAGCGTGGGAGGATGAGGTCTGGTGGTAAGATTTATTTGGGTGGAAATAGAAGGCTACCCCAGGTTCCCAGTGTCCCATCTCCATCCATCCCATCATGGAAAAAGTCCAACCCTGTCTTTATCAGGCCCAGAAATAGAACGTGTCCAGACATTTTGCGCCATTGGTTTGGTCCATGTTAAAGCTTAGTCCATTCCAGTCTTTGTCTGTCCCCATCCAGCTAGCATAGTCTGTTTCCTGCTGCACTTTGGCTGGTGCTGCTGTACCCAGGCTCACACTGTCTGTCATGGGCCTCAGGTGGCTGCTAGGGTCACATGGCTGCTATGGAGAGAAAACGCAAAAGCCAACTGGGCAAGCACATGTTACCAGGTAAGAGAGCACTTTGTTAAACTTGGGTTATATTATCTCCGGCTTGGGGAGGGCCAGGTGGGCTTTCAAACTAACCAATCAACTTCCCAATCATTTGGGGGCTTCACTGGGTTCTCTCCCTAACCAATACATTTCCTAAATCTTCCCTGGGGGGGGGGGGGGG